TTCAAAATGACCAATAATTTGCTTGCAAACACAGAAAAACAGGATTTAGTTGAAGAGAGTCTCAAGCAAGATGTTACCTCCACTGAAAAGAGAGAGACTGGCGCCTGTTTGGTGTATTGCCAGGCTGGATGGAGCGCATGAAACTAGTTTCTTTACCTTCAATTATGTTCAATAATTGTTAAAATGACAAAAAAACTTAATATTAAACTTTTAAAATTATTGAATAGTATAAACTTCTTGATATTTACTAAAATAGTAAGGAATTTAAGCCCTAAAACCAATTACTGTATTGGCGGACTAATACTACAGCTGGTGGACTGCCAAATGCAAGTGAAAACATGTTGAGGTCGGCTCGTAAAAAATTCGTTAATCAAGGGATTGCTCGTTAACCGAAGTTAAGAATCTTATGGAAGGTAAACCGTTAACCGAAATCTCGTTAACCGAGGCGCTCGTTAACTGAGGGATCACTTGACCTTTGGCCCCAACTGTCAGTCAAAGAGTCACTCTCCCCCTCCCCCATCTTCCCAGCCAGGATTTGGTGGTTTTAGGCTTAAAATTTTTACCTTATATAATATCAGACTAAAGTTAGAATATAATTTGCATTGCTAGAATCCTTGCAAGACAGCAAATAATTTGAATCTAGACACCATATATTTTGCACGAGATAAAAATTTTAGCCCTTTGTAATAAAATTAATTAAAACTAAAATTTGTATGTCTAATGCAAACTACAGTAAAACCCCGCTTTACGCGGTTTCACTTTACGCATTTCCACGTTTATGCGGTACCCTGCCGAACACGGAATGCTCACTTTCCGCAGTGTGTGTACTTTTTTACGCGGAGAGCGGTGTAGGCAGGGTGCGCACAAGGTTGCCCAGTCATCAAAACATTACCGAGTTCTTCACCCGCCACCCACCACAGCCGGCCCAAGTCAGTGATAGTGATAATGATAGTGAGGATATGGGCTTAAATGGACTTAAAGGGGTTTGACAAAGAGGCCCTGCAAGCCTCTGTGGTGGATAGTGATACAATTGATACAGGTGAGGGCCAATAATCTGCCCTGTGCCTCAGAACCAACCCCCCATCCCCGTGTGCCCAGCCATCTTTTCTACTAATGTAAGTGTTAAAAAACCTAATATTATTGATATTTCTCTTAATTATTAATTGTGTGCATACCATCATAAAATTAAGAAGTTATTTTTACTACAACGTAGGTATTGTGTCTGAAAAAGTGGAGTTTGGGGGTCGGCCCGGTCTCTATTTCAATTAATCCCATATGTTCTGTTGTTCACTTTACGCGTTTCTCGATTTAGGCGGGCCGCCGTGGGTTCAATTGACCACGTAAAGTGAGGGTTCACTGTATAGCATGTATATATTCAAACTAATCACTATCTTATAAGAATTCCAGCAATGTTAATTATATTCTCCCATGTCAGTTCAGTGACATTTTAAAAGAGAAAAACTTAAAAGTCACCCTTAAGCCCCGGGTTTGGGTCCTACTGGCACTCTCGGTGGGGTTAAGTCAAATAAAAAAAAAAAAAATAAAAAAAAATAAAATAATAAATAAATGAAAAAAAAAATGGCGGGAAAGTAGGCGGACATTCTGGAACATCACCTGGGGCCTAAGGGTAAAGGACAGATAAATAAGTAAGCACTAGACCTTGGCATCAACTGTCAAACATATCACCTCACCTCACCTACCCCATCTTCCAAGTCAGTAACAGACCATTTCCTATCCCTTAATTTTAGCAGTGTTGATTTATGAGTATTTGTTTTAACAATACTACAAAAAGCAATGTTTTGTTTATTCTAGGAGATGGGCTGAAGTGCATCTGGATAGACTTAAGAGGTCTTTTTAGTATTTTGTGTCTCTCAAGTACCAAACTAAATTATTCCATTGAAACAACACTTTGATTTAGTGTGAATTCAGTTTAAAGCAACCTCTCTTGGAACACATCTCGTGTTACATCGACGCTCTACTGTACCAAGTTCCCACTTTTTTTTTTATATATTCACTAAAGTACTGATACATTATAAAAATAAGTATTGTAATGCATATGAAGGGTACAGATATTAAGCAAAAATTATTGAAGTAACATATCTTTACTAATTAATAAATTATAAATAAACAATATTGTCTTGAGTTACAGTAGGAATGACAGAGGCGGGGGTGGGAGACGAACCTTTTGGGGAGTAAGCGGTCAGTTTCACCCCCCAATGGTCTCTCCCCCTTCCTCACTCCACCACCACTCTCCTCCTAATCCATACTGTATTTTAAAATGTTATGTAACGTAATGTTGAATAAATACAGTACAGTGACCCCTCGGTTAATGAACTCAATCCGTTCCAGAAGGTCGTTCGTTAACCGAAACCATTGTTTCAATGGGTTTTTGGGTAATTGGTTCCAGCTCACCAAAAATTTCCTAAATTCAACAAAAATGGTAGAAAAGTTCACTTACTTTGAGGTGTGTATGTAGAAGGCTCCTGGATGATGATGATGATGATGATTTGCATTTGAAGTGGGAGGTGGAGGAGAAGGAAGAAGAGAAGTCACCCCATGGCACCATTTCACCCATAAAATTTTAGTTCTCTTGGTGTATTTCAAGATTATTTTCTTTAAATCAACACTGCACTGCATTATATATTGTCAATATGTAAAATATATTTCAAAATGACCAATAATTTGCTTGGAAACACACAAAAAAAGCATTTAGTTGAAGAGAGTCTCAAGCAAGATGTTACCTCCACTGAAAACAGAGAGAGACTAACGCCTGTCTGGTGTGTTAACAGGCTGGATGGCACGCCAGAAACTAGTTTCTTTACCTTCAATTATGTTCAATAATTGTTAAAATGACTAAATATAAAACTTTTAAAATTATTGAATAGTATAAACTTCTTGATATTTACTAAAATAGTAAGGAATTTAAGCCCTAGAACCGGTTAATGTATTGGCGGACTAATACTAAAGCTGGTTGACCGGCCAGTGCAAGCGAAAACATGTTGAGGTCGGTTCGTAAAAAATTCGTTAACCGAATTTTTGTTCGTTAACCGAATTGAAGATCCTTATGGAAAGCAGTTCGTTAACCGAAATTTCGTTAACCGAAGCGTTCGTTAAACGAGGGGTCACTGTACAGATATTAAATACAGTAATATAAAACTATGATATATAATTTATATAATGATAAGAACATCTGTGGTAAATTGAACAAAGTCGAACAACTCCTTCTAGTGGTAGCGGCTTCCTCATAAATTACCGACGAACAAATTATAATACAGGTAATAGAATATGAATTACATTAAGACTGTACAAAACTACGTTTGGTGTATAGCCAGGGAGAGGCGGTGGAGAAAGGAGGGAGGGAGGATAACACACCAACTCCAGCACAGCAGCCTGCGACCCCGTTATAACAACAGTATGCACTTCACCGTAATTCCCATATTATTTGGTTCATTTGGTGCCAGGTTAATAAAACATTTTCGAAGAATAATTCATTTTACCCCAAAAACCCCACTCAATCCCAGATGAATTATTGCTCTGTAGTACACTACTGATATTCTCAGTGTCTTGTTTACAGATAGGTAAAAGCTGGCATAGCTCTCCCTAATAATGTTGCCAGCACTCACCATCTCTCAATCACCATTGTTGTCACTGCTCAAGTGGGTTGGTGCTTACCACAGGGTCTGTCTTGAGCAATTAGTAAATATTGTAGCATATTTTTCAAAACTTAATAAATATTATATTATTATTGCATAATGCGCCTCCATGTACTTAAGGAGCCAAATCGAATCATTATGTAAAAATTTATTTTAAATTATAAATTAAAATGTTATAAGACAATGGTTCAGTTGTTCTGTTAATGTGTGTAAGTGTCTTTGCATGTCACCACACCTACTGCCATTTCATCTCACCATCTGACTCGTCCCCTCAGCTCGAAATTACTGTATTTCTGTATTTACTTTAAGAAATATTTATGTTTGCACAGTAATTATAAATAGACCCAGACCAGAAAAATCAAGCATTAACCAAGCCGTTGGTCTTCCCACCCAGCACATAAGGATGCGGCTAAGCATGATGCAATCTTTCATAACGTTGGGAACCTTTGTCCCTAGGCCCAGAGCAGAAAGGTTTGTTGTGATTTTCTCAAAATTTTCTCAGATTTTCAGGTAACTGCGCATTCAAGACATCTTCAGGTCATGAGACCCACTAATCCCCAAGCCAAGAAAGGGTGACCTGACATTCCATCAAAACGTCAGTAATATGAGAACACTAATTTCCCACCCTACCTCCACCTGACATTGCAGCAGGTCAGGTACTGTACACGAGACCCACTAATCCCCCACAGCTCCATGGGAGTGGAAAATACCAGTCTTTGCTGTAACACACAGTTTCATTCACACCCATATCATATAGATTTTTAATTTTCAGATACATGTATATTTATTTTACGAAGCTTTAAGATAAACTATCTGGATCATTAGAGTAAAGAAATGTAGTTTCTAACTTAATTAGAACTGCATTTACATACTCCAGAAGTTTAGACTCAAGGAAAACAACTCCAGCACCCAGAAACATTCTGGGGAAGTGGGCTAGTGTCAGTGTGTGTGTAAGATGTCTAGTATAGACACTCGGAAACTTTTCCCAGTAACCGGAAAATATTCCGGGGATAAGGGATTTTTCCGGGTTTGAGAGTCGTCTGCTTAGCCGGAAATCTCTCATCCCCGGGGATATCACTGTATTACTGAATATTTTGACACAATATAATGATGTTGTGGCATTTGGAGAGTTTCAGGGACCAGGAATTCTAGCTAATGGAGAATTTACTGCTGTACCATCTTCAATTACAATTTTATTTACAAATTCCTTGATTCGTTAGGCGATACCAAGAGATTGCTATATTCTTTTCACAGGAATATTTACCATGTATAACACTGAGGATACACATCAAATAGATTCTTTTAAACTCCAAAAATATCTAATTAAACTATGATAGCCTTACTTACCATGTGGACTTAAGAATTCCACAAAAATTTTGACAAGTACTTCTGCATCATCCTCATCAGACTGCTTCTCTTGGTATATGATGACATGTCTAACAGTGCCAAAACGGCCACATTCTTCTGTAATTTCATCTTGGAGAAGTTCATCCACTTCCTCAGCACCGACCATATTACGTAGAATCACCACAGTTGACTGCAAAGAAAAAAAATATGTTCTTCCATTACTCTGCATTACACTACTGTATACACTACTGTATACAGTATATATTATTCATGTCAGTATCATCATCACAAAAAATGGCACACTTGATGTAGAGTAATTAGGTAGGAGGAATATTAACTTTTGTAAGGAAAACAAGATAATAATTACTGAGTACAGTACTGTACAGTAAAGCCTCTGATATCGACGGTTCAACTAACGAAGATTCATATTTAAGACCCAATTCAATTTACGCCATTATTTTCTTCGTATTTACAACAAAGTAAAAAATATATATTAAATTTTTGTATAAATAATAACTAAATCCCGATATTAAAAAAAAAAAAGCGCCTTGCGCACAGAGGCTGCCGGGCTTGTTAGTGGTGATGCCAGCATCAATAGTATAAACAATTGCAGGTGGCGGGCCCTTTGTTTTCACGCATCTGAACAGGAAAAGGAGAAAAACTTTCTCAGGTTTCTTACATCATTTCTGAATCCCTATTCAACATGAGCAAGAGAGCAAGTGATGGTAGTGTTGTTTCAAAAGCTAATAGAAAATGCATTAGCTTAGCCGAGAAATAAGATGTGTTAAAAAGATATGAAAAAGGTGAGAGGTCTGTGGATATTATATTTTCTGAAGTGGACCCATTAACAGAACAAAGCATTAAAATTTAAATAAACACATATGACCTCTTCATAAAGATGTATTATGAGAAAAGAAAGCAGCTGTGCAAGGTTCTTTCGACAGTTTTATTATTCGAAGGCCTAAACCATAACTTCAGCTACACCATCAAATTCAGCATCATAAGCAGCTTCAACAACATTTTCAGGCTCAGTAACAGCTTTATGGAAAGCTACAGCTTATGCCAGAGTTGAACCTGATAACTTCGTCATCTGAATAAAAACTCGCACAATATTCATTGGCTGTCCTTATGTTTTAGACTTTACCACCATTGGTGAGTAGAATTTTTGTTTTACATTCATAAATATTATTGAAAACATATATGAACAGTTAATAGGTGTTGCATTCATATGTAGAGAAATGACGATATGTTTTCACATGTCTGCACTTACTGTACAAGTGTACATGCGTTGCCTTTCCCAATCGTCTCGCTTTATTTCTTTACCATTAGTGGTTAGCTACTTCTAGTGTTCCATTTATTAAATAGCATTGCTTAAAACATACATACAGGAATTCAATTTTTTTACATTAAGTTCACTACAGCTACAACCAGGGTCTTATTTTCTTCCGTTTCTTATGTAGAACAATCGTCAATCACGAAAACAATGCCGTCTTGTCTCCTCGTGTGTTTTAATATTCTACGTATTATTAATGAATTGCATTGCATTGTTCATTTCACATATATAAACATTAATTCAGTCAAATACATATTAAGCAATAAACAATAATAAATCTTTTGTACTTATTCTTAAGATAAATGACTATGTTTCCTTGAGTGCGCACGTATACGAGGTCTGTCCAAAAAGAAACCGAACTTTAAAAAATAAACAAATTATTGCTGTACTTACAACTTAATCAGACTTGTCTCTTTCAAAGTACTCCCCTCCACTGTTGATACACCGCTCCTAACGTTTTTTCCAGTTCCGTAACGCGTTTTGAGGGATGGTGTGTAGGTCTTGTAGCGAACTTTCTTCTATCGTTTGAAATCGGCAACCTTGAACGCAACCCCTTGTTGCAGACAATACTCCTTGGCTCGTGGAATGAAACAACTCAGGAATCAATCCTCAAACAGTGCTAGGGTCATCCATGCTTTCTTATTACTGCGATAAAACACTGGCAGTGTGTGCTTGCTGACATTATTAAAAGCCTGTGGGTTTTACCTTGAAACCAGCTACATTCCCCCCTAACAGAAGTGTGATTCGGTCCTTGAATCCCGGCATTGTTTTCGCCTCTTTGTGCATGTATGTCCGTTCTGGCATGCGCTTCCAGAATAAGCCAGTTTCATCCACATTAAATATTTCCTCAGGCAAATAATTTCTCTCCACGATGACACGATTTAGCTCCTCCTCAAAAGCTTCAGCAGCACCCACATCAGCACTTGCTGCCTCTCCACTCACCTTTACACTGTGCAAATTGTAACGTTTCTTAAACCTTTGGAACCACCCATGACTTGCTGTGAAGTTATGGTCGCACTCATCTCCTGCCTGCTCCTTCAGGCTTTCGAAAACGTTTCTTGCCTTAGCTTGTATGGTTAGAAGGCTTAAGGGTACACGCTTTTGCAGCTGATCTTCCATCCACATTACAAGTAATTTCCCCATCTCATGAAGAAAACCTTGTCTTTTTTCGTTATTGTTGTTATTGCTCATCCTTTCACTACCTCACTAATTCGTTCCTTGTCCTTCAAAATGTTTTATATCGTCGAGTCAGAGAAGCCAAGGTCGCGTGAAATGGGTGCTACCATTTTTCCATTTTCATATTGCATTATTATTTTCATTTTCATCTCAAAAGTAATTGACTGATCTCAAAAGTAATTGACTCTCTTTTTCTTCTCAGCACCACGAGAACTCTCACTTTTACACTTGCCAGCCATTTTAAAATTTGTCAGTACACAGCGCGATCACTAACAACAACAAAGACGGCCAAACACCAACTGAGCGGGCTACGGCGTAGATGCAGTACACCACGAGGCGGCCCGGTCCACGCTGTCGTACGGCGTCACAATACGACAAAACGTTTCGGGACTCGAAAATACGTAATGTGAAAAATATTTTATACGACCATGGCGGTTGTATGTCCGGGTTGTCGTAAGTCAAGGAGAGAGTATAAATATACTTACGTGAACAGCTTTTTTAAAAAATTAAAATAACTAAGAACAAATTAAGGTTCTCTATTACTGATGTGCACCTACTAAACACCCTTCATGTTGCTATGTCATCCATTCAGCCAGACATTGCAGACTTTGTACAGCAAGTAAAAAGTCACCCATCCCATTAACAACTCTTATCACAGTCAACAAACACAGTAAGTAAGCATTTTGTCTCTTTGGCTTTAAATTTATCATTAATTTTGAATTTTAAAAGCAATATAATGAGTGTATGGCCCATCATGCATCAGATGATTTTATTGTGGCCCTCAAAGCAAAATGTTTGCACACCCCTGATAGAAGATGACAAAAGGTATAACTGCATGGAAATGTACAAAAAGATTAAACAAATGAACCAGTAAAAATAACATAAATGGGGTGAGACTATTAAAGGCAAAGTCAATAACATCCTTTTTGAGGTCGAAAAAGTAAAAGAGAGATGGGCAGATTATGTAGAGGAACAATACAATGATAAGGACAGAGCGAAGGTTAGAAACGAAAAGGAAATAAAGAATAAACTATCAGTTCTTTTAACAGAAATTGAGGTGGCTGTGAGCAAAATGAGACATGATGCAGCATCCAGGTGAACTTATAAAACAAATGAGCAGGAATAGGATAAATTGTTTGACTAAAATATGTAACTCTATGTACTTAAAAGAAGACCTTCCCAGTGATTAAAAAAAATTTATTACAGTATTTATATTACAGCATGCCCTGACAATTCGCAGACCTCCAGCATTCACAGATGAGACCCTGGATGTACCCAAGAATGGCTATGATAGTTTTGAGGTTGCTGGCATTTTCACAGCTGGGACAGGGAGCCATTCGTTCTAGAGACAGTAATTTCTTTTACCTGTATTGTATACGTATACAGTGATCCCTCGATTGACAAACACAATTGGTTCCACAGAGTCGTTTGTTAACCGAAAATTTCATTAACTGAATCTATTATTTCAATGGGATATTGGGTAATTGGTTCCAACTCACAGAAAAAGTACAAAGTAAAGCCCAAAACTGCATTAAGTCAGAAACAATATTAAAAAATCCCCTAAATCGCCCTTAAAGCAAAAAAAAAAAAAAAAATATATATATATATATATATATATATATATATATATATATATATATATATATATATATATATATATATATATATATATATATATATATGTATGTATGTATGTATGTATGTATGTATGTATGTATGTATGTATGTATATATATATATATATATATATATATATATATATATATATATATATGTAATAATAATTGACGGTTTATTGACAAAGTTCTGCAGCCCGAATGTATGTATATATGTATGTATGTATGTATGTATGTATGTATGTATGTATGTATGTATGTATGTATGTATGTATGCATGCATGTGATACAGGTATTGTGCAAAATATATGACATTTATATTCAAATTATTCACTGTCTTACAAGGATTCCAGCAATGCAAATTATATTCTCCTAACTTTAGTCTGAGATATCATATAAGATAAAAACTGTAAGCCTTAAACCCTGGGAGGGAGGGAGGGAGCAGGTGAGGTGATATGTTTGACAGTTGGCGCCGAAGGTCTAATGTGTGTTTATTTAACAGTCATAAAGTGACTAAGCTTCTCTCTTATAAATGCCAGTGAAATGACCTGGGAGAATATAATTTACATGCTGGGATTCTTGTGAGATAGTGATTAATTTGACTATAAACAAGCTACAATTTGCACTAGACATAACAATTTTAGTACCATAATCATTTAGTACATGTACAGTAGTACAGGTTTGCACTTAGGTCATTTATTTCTTTTAAGTTTTTTTAGTATGGTGTGTGCATGTAAATGAATAAAAATAAATGAAGAAATTTAGGTAAATCTACCCAAAAATACAGTTGAAAAAACTTGTACATTATTAAAATGTACTAAACTAAGGTACTAAAATTTTTATCTCTTGTGCAAAATATATGATGTCTAGATTCAAATTATGCACTGTCTTGCAAGGATTCCAGCAACGCAAATTGTATTATCCTAACTTTAGTCTGATATTATATAAGATAAATACTTAAAGTCTACTGTATAACCACCAAACCCTGGCTGGGAGGGGGGGGAGGAGAGGTGACAGTGACATGTTTGACAGTTGTACCGAAGGTCTAATGAAGTATTTATTTGTTTATTTATGTCCTTTAGCTTGAGGTTTTGTTTTTGTTTATAAAATGTGACAAGTGACCGAGGAGAATATAATCTACATTGCTGGAATTCTTTTAAGATAGTGATTAATTTGAATATAATCATGCAATAGTTTGCACTAGACAAAAACTTTAATAATCATTTAGTACATTATTTTGAGTACATGTACAGTACAGCTTTGCCCTTAGGACAGTGTGTGAGTGTAAATGAGTAAAAATAAATGAATAAAGTTACATATATCGAGCCAAAAATATTAGTTGAAATATTTTATGTAGACAGCTTGGATGGCTAAATTTTAAAATGACCAATAATTTTAATATAAAAATGCAAAAATATTCAAGAAAACAACTCCCTTGATATTTATTCCACTGGAAACGAATGTAAACATAAAACCGATTACTGTATTGGCGGACTAGCTGATCGGCTGATGCGCACAACAAAGCATGATTCTCCGAAGGCTTTCGTTAATCAAGGTTTTGCTCATTAATGGAACTGAAAATCCTTATGGGAGCTAATTCGTGAACCGAAATTTCATTAATTGAACCGTTCGTTAAACGAGGGACCACTGTATACACACACAAATACAATACAGGTAAAAGAAATTATTGTCATAAAGGCAAACACATTAAGGGAATATACATTTATTTACACGAGCAAAAATGTACTGTACCCCCATCAGCAAATGTTATTCGCGGATTTGGCTATTCACGGCCATTTTGAGAACCTAACCCCCGCGAATTTGAAGGGCATACTGTATTACTAAAAAACCCAGAAGCCTTAGATTGCACCCAGTTTAGAACAATTAGCTTAATAAGTTATGCCTGCAAAGTTTTATTAAATATAATTTTAAGTTGAATAAAATTTAGAATAGACGGTGAGTTATCTGAAGATCAAAATGGATTTAGAAAGGGAAAAGGAACTTGAGAAGCAATATTGGTTTAAAAATTTAGAGTGAAACAGCTTCAGCAATCCAAAGAAATTTGTATATCAGCTTTGGTGATTTTGAAAAAGCTTTTTTGTAAAGTAAAACACAATAAACTTATAAAGGTCATGCAAAAAATAGGCATTAGTGAAGGAGACAAAAATAAAAATAAAATCTTTACTTGCAAAAGGATGTTGCAGTGTTAGTTAATAATGAACTTATTAATTGGTTCAAAGTTAGACAGGAAGTAAGACAAGGCCGTGTTCTATCTCCAACATTGTATAAAACAGTATATACAGTATTCAGAATTCCTAATGAGAGAAGTTATAAGGGGCAATGAAGGAATAAAAGTTAATGAAAAAGTAACGTCAACTACAGTATACACTATGCAGATGATACTGCTCATATCACAGATCGTGAAGTAGCATCACAAAAACTGGTTTACACATTACTGGAAAAAGGTGGGGAATATGGGTTAAGAGTTAATGCTGTAAAAATGAGTAATGGTTGTTTCCAAATTGGAAATAAATCCAAAAAGACAAAAAATATGCTAGGCAACAGGGAACTATAACAAGTGGAAAATTTTGTCTATATATTTGGGAAAAAACATTATCTGTGATGGTAGAAGTGCACAAGAAATCATAACAAGAATAAGTCAAGCAAAAACATCATTTAACCCTTAGGCACCGGATGACGTTCCAGAATGTCAGCCTATTTTCCCGCCATCTTTTTTTTTTATCATTTTTGGAAAAGTTGATTTTTTTCTCAATTTATCAAAGTGGGGGGCCCTGCCAGCAGCACCCTAACCCGGGGCTTAAGGGGTAATAATCTAAAAGACCTAATGAAAATGGACATTTACTTCAATTTGAGGGAAAAGGCTGCTGAAAGACTACAAGGTGTCCATAAATGATTACCTTGATTAAAATGAGAGCATACTGTTTTCTGGGTAATCATTTATGGACACCCTGTATATATGGCAAGGACTGTTGTTTGGCTCAGAACCGTGGACATTTTCAGCAGACACCAGAAAGAGGTTGGAAGGTTTTGAAATGTGGTGTTATAGGTGAATGTTAAAAATAGGTTACACTGACAGGAAAACAAATGAAGAAATACTAAGGTTGGCAGAAGATTCAAGAGAAATACTTAAAATGTACAGAAAAATTAGATACTTTGATCATAAAATCAAAAGGAGGAAAGAGGCCAAGATTGCTGGCATGCGGCAATTTCAAATAACTGCTCGAGGGGGCAATTTCAAACAACAAATATTTAAGGGTTTAGAGTATAGACAAATGTTTCTTGCCCGAAAAGGGTCCGGACTAACTGAAATCCGTACTTTCGAGAGTTTACTGTAATTCTGACAAACAAGTTATTTTAAGGTTTTCTTCATACAATACTTGTGAATTCAAGACAAGCAACAAATATTAACAAACTGATTCCCCACCTCTGCTTTCCTCATTAGCTTCTGCATGACCAGGTGTCGTGCTGACTGGCCCTTGATGGACATAGTCTCCTGTTGCTGCAATGTTTGAGGCTCATTGTCCTCCATGAGCTTCTTGGCTAGCTCCTCCTGATGAGTAGGTTTCCGATCTTCACCTCCACTTGAGGAATTGACTGTTGCATTGGAGCCAGCAGAACCTGCACCACCAACATTTGATGATGGTGGTAATGGAGGTGCAAGTGAAGAACTGTTGGTGCCAGGAACAGGTAATGAGGTAATAACTGTTGGTGGAGGTATGGTTGCTGTACTAGTTGGTCCACCAAGGTTAGGTAAACTAGTTACTACACCCACAGGAGGAACAGATGAACTATTTCCACCCAAAACTGCCACTGGAGAGGATGGAACTGATGCAGAAACATTACCCACAGTTCCAACTGGAGGTACATTCCCCACAACACCAACTGGTGGTAGTTGTGATATAGAACCAGGAGAGCTGCTGAGCCCTTGTACAAGACCAATGGCATTTGTTGCCAGAGCATCCATCGCCTGAATTTTAGCTGTTGCTGCTGCTGCTGCTACTGCTGCTGCAGTTGGCATCTGAGTTGGTGCCGATAGAGGACCCTGTAAAAATAAACATTGACATTTATCATTGAAATTTACATATATGTAATTTATTTCTACTTTACAAGTTGTATAGAGAATAAAAAATTATAATAAAACTGTACTAACAAGTTAAAAAGGAGAGGTGCAAAATGTATGTAAAAAATACTGTAGTATGAAAGGGCCAAGACAACACTTAGAAATATCCATACAGTGAACCCTCACTTTACGCGGTTAATTCAACCCACGGCGGCCCGCGTAAAATGAGAAACGAGTAAAGTGAACAACATAATATATGGGATTAATTGAAATAGAGACCGGGCCGACCCCCAAACTCCACTTTTTCAGACACAATACCTGCGTTGTAGTAAAAATAACTTCTTAATTTTATGATGGTATGCACACACAATTAATAATTAAGAGAAATATCAATAATATTAGGTTTTTTAACACTTACATTAGTAGAAAAGATGGCAGGGTTCTGAGGCAGAGGGCAGATTATTGGCCCTCACCTGTATCACTATCCACCACAGAGGCTTGCAGGGCCTCTTTGTCAAACCCCTCAAAGTCCATATACTCACTATCATTATCACTATCCCTGACTTGGGCCGGCTGTGGTGGGTGGCGGGTGAAGAACTCCGTAATGTTTAGATGACTGGGCGACCTTGTGCGCACCCTGCTCGCGCCGCTCTCCGCATAAAGGGGTACACGCACCGTGGAAAGTGAGCATTCCGGTTTCAGCAGGGTACCGCGTAAACGTGGAAACACGTAATGTGGGGCCGCGTAAAGCGAGGGTTGACTGTACATTATTCCTAACAGGGCTTTGGAAATTCACTCACCCATGGCGAATGGAAAATCCTTAGGGCTAGTTAAATTTTATATTTACTAGCTGCCTGCAAAAGTGAGTGTATCTTTGTTTAGCTATAGAGAACAAAAAAAAAAAAAAAAAAAAAGTCATGCAAAAAATAAAATACAGGGGGCCCTCCAAATACGCGGATTTTTATTTTGCGGTCCTCTATTATTCGTGGATGACACTCTGGATGTACCCTAGAATGTCTGTGGGTAGTTTTAAAGTTACCGGCATTTTCGCCTCTGGGACAGGGAGCCATTCGTTCTAGAGACAGTAATTTCCTTTACCTGTATTGTAAATATATGTATGTATGTACTGTATGTATGTATGTATGTATGTATGTATGTATGTGTGTGTATGTGTGTGTGTGTGTGTGTGTGTGTGTGTGTGTGTGTGTATGTGTGTGTGTGTGTGTGTATGTATGTATGTGTGTATGTATGTATGTGTGTGTGTGTGTGTGTGTATGTGTGTATGTATGTATGTATGTATGTATGTATGTATGTATGTATGTATGTATGTATGTATGTATGTGTGTGTGTGTGTGTGTGTGTGTAGACACACACAAAACACATACAAATAAATAATACTGTATTGGGAAAATTCTATCACAAATAATCAGAAACAAATTTATTAAAAATGTGACAGTCTTAAAGCACGGATTTGAGGGTGGCCCGTCACATTTTTAATAAATTTGTTTTTGATTATTTGTGAGAGTATTTTCCCATTAATATTTATTTGTATGTGTTTTATGTGTGTGTGTGGTTACACACACACACACATACAGTAGAACATCGATTTAAAGGGATTCAATTTAAGATCATTGATTTAAAGCGACACCCACAATTAAGGACAATATTTTAATTTAAAGCGAATCTTTCCTATCTTGCGCGAGTCAATTTCGTGCCTAATGTTTCCCACCATACGCGTCTCTGGGCACGCTACATGGCTGCCCGCCACCCACTCTCACCCTCACGCATCCTCAGTTCTCGCACTGACGCTCAAGGGAACGGAAATATTGTGTGACACTATCTCCTTCTACCATGTGCATCAACCATCTCCACTATGTCCAAAAGGCCAGCTACTACATAATTAACTACCCTAAAGGTCAAGAAATCAAAGCAGGCAATTACATTGGAGCAGAAAAACAAGGTGCTGGAAGCACTGCAGCATGGAAATGGTGTTTCCCGTGTCAAATGCGTCCACAGCCACAGCACTAGACGGTGATGTGAATGACGAGCTGGTTGAGTTGGGCTCTGCATCTTCAGAGGGTAAAGTGCCTACCTAAAGTTGAGTGAAAATCTATTTTTCATCGCATAAAGTAATTGAAAAATAAGTTGAGAGGAAAGTGAGCGCTGGGCGAATCAGGTGGGTGGCGAGTGGCACCAGTGCGACCACCCTCTCACATCAGCCGATCACTAGTAAACAGACCATTTCGCATCCCTGAACTTTAGCTGTGTTGATTTATGAGTGTTTCTTTGTTCTAGGAGATGGGCTGAAGACAAACTACAGGTACTCCTCGACTTACGACCACCCGGATATACGATCGCCGCAGTCATATAAAATATTTTTCAAATTACGTATTTTTGAGTCCCAACGTTAGTGATGGCGCTGTGTACTGACAAAATTTTGGTCTGTAATTCCCTTTAAAATGGCTGGCAAGCTTAAAAGTGAGAGTTCTTGTGGTGCTGAGAAGAAAAAGAGACACCCATTTTAGATTTTCTATGTATTATTTTCGCATTTTCGACTTACAACCAATTCAACTTACGACCTGGATTTGGGTCCCTAACCCCATCATAAGTCGGGGAGGAGATGTAATTATGAATCTGTACGTTCTTTACAGCTGCCTATATCCATTTTGTGTAACATTTGTTCCGGTAGTTTTAATAATTACAGTTGTTACTTCCAATTCCAATAAATTCCTTCAGTCATCTGTTGAAGTTTTAAAACTTACTTTTCATTCAATCACTTCTAATGTTAGATACAAAAGTCCCTTGCAAACAATGGAATTAGGTTCCTGAAAATCCCTGTGGTTAGGTTAGGCTCCATGGCCACAGATAATACCCATCAAACCCTATCTAAGTTGCTATTCCTTCGCTAAACAATACCTAAACATTTAATTAAATTTTAGTTATATGCATATAAAACAGCTTAATATAAATTTTACATGAAATGAATGTGTGTATGTGGACTTGGCAGGTCACCAAGTTAAACTGTCCCTGTAACTACATCCCCCTAGCTCTCCTCCTACCAGGCTACACTATGTCATTTTTTAGATTTTTTTTTTAGATTGCCCCGGAGGGGGCTAGTTTATTGGCCACCCCCTTACATCCTGTGCAAGGTGAAGCGCAGAAGCGTTTACAGTGCCCAACTGGGAAGCATGCGGAGTTCATGCTTGCCTTTATGACTCGTGCATTAAGGGTGTAAAAGCCTGAAGGGTCATGGGTTATGTCAGCACATTACAGTGATAGAATGATGAGTGTGTTGGGGGAAATTTCCTGGTACAATTTATCTGTTTATGGCAAAGCGTGGCAGGTCCCTAATAATGTCAAGCGCCAGGACATAGGCATTGACAATATTGAGGGACATACCTTTTAGTGTGATTGTGATGGCGTGTACGTCGGTAGTGTCGGCTTCAAGGGAAACGTCGAGAGGTTGGTAGGGGACGTTGCTATGTCAATGTTATTTTTTAACTCATATTTTCAGGTAGATATATGAATGTCATTTCATTTATTGTTCTTTTCTCTGTTCTCCATTACATACACAGACAATCATTTAGACAGAATGTGAAAAATAAATAAAAAAATGATTATCATAAGGTTAAAAAACTTAAGAGGATAAACATTTCTTACATTCACGGATTGTGGGGGGGTGATGTCAGGGGATATCAGCCTCTCCCTATCAGGCCATGCTATGAGCTACGTTATTGTTTTTTTTTCCAACTTGTAGTTACAGGTAGATATACGTATTTTGTTAAATTTCTTTTTACCGTTACAGGCACACACATTCATTCATACTTAACATGAAGAAAAAATAATAATAATAATAAGACGATGTGCACCCGCTACAGGTAGGGCCGGTGCTGGTGTCTACATCTCCCGTCCTGATGCCCCTGAGCCTATCAAACTATCTCTCAGAGTTTCTGACGGGGCATCCTCCACTCAGGCTGAACTAACAGCCCTCCTTGCTGCCCTTCTCGCTGAGGAAGAAGCAGATGGTTTCTGCCCCTTGCTTGTCTGCTGCGATTCCAGGTCTGCTCTCGACGGGATCGCATTTGGATCAGGGGAAAATAAGGACCTCATCCTCCGAATACGAGGGTTAACATCCACACTTCAGGATGAAGGCCGTCCTGTGACATTCCTATGGATACCCAGTCATGTCGGTATCTTGGGGAATGAGGCAGCAGATGGCCTTGCTAAGACTGGCTGCAACAAGGCCACACCCGACTACGTTGTTCCTCGAACACTCTTACAGATTAGGACCCAAATTCGCCGCAAACAGAGAGAAGCTCGGGAAGCAGCCATCCCCCTGGACTCCCGCCCACCTGGTACGATGTCCTCCGTAAACTTCCTGACCTCTCGTATGTCTACGGGAAAGGGTCGCGGAAAGGGGACGTGATTGCTGCCCGTATCATCATTGGGTATGACTTTGCTTGGGAGATTGGTATCCCCGCATCCCCTGAGCAACGCTCTTGTGCATTATGCAGAAGACCCGACAGCAGCACCCTTATCCACTACCTCCTAAGATGTCCCCACACACAACGCTTCCGTGACGCCTGCTGGACCACCACTCCACGACCCCCTGACAGAGACACGATAATCCTCCCCATATTGGCCAGATATTTTGTAAATAATATTGATTATGTGTTAAAGGAATATCCTTCCTTCCTTAGGCTTTAGTAAGCCCCTTTATAATATTTATACTGTATATACCTGTCACACTTGCCAGATGCTTCTGGTGTCATTGTACAGGGGTACCTAGTGACAGCACTAGGATCCCGCTTCCTCTATCAAGGAATAACAACTGAAATTGAAAATTGAAATTGACGATGTGCAGAACAAGTGGGATAATTACCTGGACACTATCACCAAAGCCTACTACCACTTCTTTCCAGCCAAGACACTGAGGATGATGTCCCGTGGATTACACCCCGTATCAAAAGACTAATTGAGCAGTGCAACAAGGCATACTATTATAAAATATCACTGAATTAATGTAAGAGAATATAACAAACATTGCTGGAATTCTTGTAAAATACTGATTAATTTGAATACAAACATGCTATAGTTTGTACTAAATATTTTTTTAAATTATTTAGTACATTTGAGTACAAAGGACTAAAAATTTTATCTCTTGTGCAAAATATATGATGTCTATATTCAAATTATTTCTGTCTTGCAAGGATTCCAGCAATGTAATTTATATTCTGCTAACTTTAGTCTGTGCCATTTTACAAGATAAAAACTTTAAGCCTAAAACCCCCTTCACCCTGGCTCTGAGGATGATTTGTTTTGACAGTCTCAGGGAAGGTTTACAAAGGTTACTTAGTGTATATTTATCAGTCATACAGTCTGGTGCTCCCGAGTTTAGTGTTCATTGGTGCTTAGTAAAAAAATAAAGTCGTTAAGTCTAGTTTAGTCACTTTTATTGGCCTCCAGAACCTAACCCTATTTTCCCCATGTAATTATATATCGATCTTTAGTATACAGTAATACCCCGCTTAACACGGTTTCGCTTAGCGCGATTTCACATATACGTACGCGGTGCCTCGCCTGAGCCGAACTTTCACTTAAAGCGGGTTTTTTCCATGTATACGCGCAGTGTCGGCTCCAGAAGCTATTTTTAGATTTGCCCCACCCCCCACCCGCCACCCTGCCTGCCTTCCTGCCTGCCTGTTTTAGCTCATAAAATTCATACAAATTACCCGGCCAGAATATAATTTACATTGCTGGAATTCTTACAATATGATGATCATTTTGAATATAAACATCATAGATTTTGCATTAGACATACAAATTTTAGATATAATGTTTACTCTGAGTAAACATGTTATTTTTTGTGCAAAATATGACATTTGTATTCAAAATATTCCTGGTCTTACAAGGAATCCAGCAATGTCAATTATATTATCCTAACTTTAGTTTGAGGTATTATTTATTACTAAAATGGTAAATATTCTGGTCTTCCCACACATCTGGTAGGGAGGGTTGGTGGGAGGTGGGGGGAGGGAGGGACCGACCGACCGACCATCTGTTACCATGTGAAAAATATTTTTTTTTTTTATTAACTGAAGATATTTGTTTTAGCTCATAAAATTCATACAAATTACCCGGTCAGAATATAATTTACATTGCTGGAATTCTTACAATTTGATGATCATTTTGAATATAAACATCATAGATTTTGCATTAGACATACAAATTTTAGATAAAATGTTTACTCTGAGTAAATATGTTATCTTTTGTGCAAAATATATGACATTTATATTCAAAATATTCCTGGTCTTACAAGGAATCCAGCAATGTCAATTATATTATCTTAACTTTAATCTGAGGTATTATTTAATACTAAATGTTAAAATTTAGTTTTTTCACCCATCTCTTGAAGGGAGGATTGGTGGGGGGTGGGGGGGAGGGTTGGGACTGACCGACCACTTGGCTTGGTTGGAAGAGGGGGGGAGGCAAGGTGGGGTACTTTGATTGACAGATAGTGTCGTGAAGAATATTTTTTTTTTAATTAACTGAAGATATTTGTTTTAGCTCATAAAAATTCATACAAATTACCCGGCCAGAATATAATTTACATTGCTGGAATTCTTACAATTTGGTGATCATTTTGAATATAAACATCATAGATTTTGCATTAGACATACAAATTTTAGATATAATGTTTACTCTGAGTAAATATGTTATCTTTTGTGCAAAATATATGACATTTATATTTAAAATATTCCTGGTCTTACAAGGAATCCAGCAATGTCAATTGTATTATCCTAACTTTAGTTTGAGGTATTATTTATTAAAATTTAGTGGTTTTCCCCCCAAAATTTCTCAGAGGGAAGAGCCAGTGAGTGTAGTGTGAGAAGAGGGGGAGGGAGTTGAGTCCATTATTTGAATGGACACTAACTTGGTGACTGTATTTCTCTATTTCTCTTTAGTATTAATTGTGTGCATGTACCATCATAAAATTAAGATGTTATTTTTACTAGAACATAGGTATTGTGTCGGAAAAAGTGGAGTTTGGGGGTCGGGCCAGTTTCTATTGGAATTAATCCCATATGTTCTGTTGTTCACTTAGCGCGGTTTTCACTTAACACGGTACCCTGTGGGTTTTATTGACCGCGTTAAGCGGGGTACTACTGTATAGCGAACATCCTTGGACCCTATCTCGCAATATATCCCGACCCTACTGTTAAGGAAATTACTGTCTCTAGAATGAGTGACTCCCAGTCCCAACCAGGAAAATGACAGTAACTTTAAAACTACCCACAGACACTCTTGGGTACATCCAGTGTTATCCGCGAAGAATAGAGAACCGCGAAATAAAAATCAGGGAATTTGGGGGCCGCCCCCCCCTGTATATATCATAAGTATGATTATTTTACCTGAATTAATTTATTATGAGCTTAAATAAGCCAATCATGTTAGTGTAATCTCCTAGCTGGGGTTTTTTAACAGTTGTGCTGCCTCCTGCTGATATGAATATCTGAATAACGGATTCTGTCTGATGAATGACATCATTGTGGCTTAATTAGTTTGGTACTCATGGTTTTTACTGTATACCTTTAAGCTGTATTATTTCCGTAGGATGACTTACCACTTCCTATTCTATTGAGAATTACCCGAATTGACTGGGCTAAGGAAATTTGGAAACAAAGAATGCAAATATACTCACATAGAAAGAGCCAGGTGGTGTAATGGCTTTCCCCACACGTAAGTACTGACCACCCAAGTCAAACAGGTTCATGGAAGCTATGGCTTCCTGTGCCGAAGTGGAATTCTCATACTCTATGAATCCATAGCCTTTATGCTTGCCAGGGGTTGTACCAGGTGTTAACATACATTGCTGCAATACATGTGTTCAGGGTAAATGATGGGTGATGATTACTAATACAATCAACATCAACTCTTCCCCTAACAAGGGTTATCTTTAACAACGCTTCCCTGGAAAGGATTACCTTCAAAAACTCACCCTTAAAATGGTTTCACCTTTTCTCAAGACTAGAGGACTCACAAAATCTCGAGCTTTCACTGAACAAATTATCATAATTCAGTCTCAAAGACGATAAGCACATCATACTTCCCTTATATTTACTGCACTGAAAATTTCGTCGGTCCTGAATCACAGGATTTTTCTCAATAATTTTAGTTAATTTTTATTACTGTTGCTCTAAGCAGACAAAATATATCCTATAAAGCTTCCTACAAAACTTGGTCCTGATTTGGTTACCACATAATGAAGCAATAACCAACAGCTTGCATCAAGAAATAGCAACCAATATATATCCTGTGAAAGTTCATTCATTTACAAAAGTGGGTGATTACTGTATAGCCTATGCAGAAAAGCTGTAAACACACACACACCGTATGTTAACAGCTTTGGTACAGGGGATTACTGTATAGCCTATGCAGAAAAGCTGTAAACACACACACACACACCGTATGTTAACAGCTTTGGTACAGGGGATTACTGTATAGCTTATGCAGAAAAGCTGTAAACACACACCCTATTTTAACAGATTTGGTACAGGGGTTTCTCTATGCTAATAAAATTGCCTAGTGTTAGCTAAATAAAATGTTAAAAAGTACATTGTTTAATATAAATGCACCTATCTATCTCTACACCAGTTCATGTGTACATATGTAACAATTGAACAAGAAAGAGCAAAACTAAGTTCAATAAAGCACATTATTCTTCCTCATTAACAAAGCTGATACAAGTGAATAACCAATGAATTAAGGTGCCATACTCAGGCATGGTAACCATGTCCTTCCACTTCAAACATTTCCAGGATGTCTTCACCTACCCTCCATGATTTTTTATCTGACTGGAGGGAGTGTCATCCATCCTAGTCTCCATCTTCCCCAGGCCCTGATAATTACACCTTTACATGGTAGTATCTCCATCATTATGCCCTTATCCCTAGTTATAAGATAAAGATATTCCCAAGAATAAGATAAGGAGATTCATCATTCAAAAAAATTTCAGTTTTTCTCTCAATGTTCCAAATTTCAGTATGGATAAGGATAATCTTAACCCAAATTTACTTGCTAAATTTTCTCACTAACCTTGATTTTACCGAAAGCTTCAAATACACTCTTGATGTCACTTTCAGATAAATCTTGGTGAACTGAAGCTATATAAATACGATTGTAGTAATTGGCCTCTTCTGTTATCTCATCAATGACGGTCTGTGCCTGGGGAACAAGAAATCACCATAAGAACATTTGAAACATGTACAGTGACAATAATAAAAAATAAAGAATAACAGCAATAAACTTTAATGACAGGAAAGGATTAGTTATTTGCCAAACTCATTAATAATATAGCAGACTTAAATCATGAACATTTTAAGTAAAATTGTAAATTGACTGTTAATAGTTTTACTTCAAGGATGTGTGCTTAAGTTTGATCTATATCAACAAACAACATACAATGTAAATCACTGTTGGTTAATGGCTTTACCAATTAAAAAAAAAAAAAAGAGAACCTGAGTTACTAAACATAACAAAACATAGACCAGATCTTGGGAGGTGAATTTTAATTTTGAGTACAGTGCTTGATTCCAAGGCCAAACCTAAGAACACACCCTACATCACACCACCACCAATGGACTTAATGTAACATACAGTGCACTGCAGAACTTCAGCAGCATGATGCATCAATTAAGACTAAAACAATGATACACCATGAAGGGCATGAAGAGCACAGGCCCATGCAAACCTACTAGCAGACTGTTCAAACAAATTTAATGGAAAATATCAAAATAAAGGCATCATCAGTCCTTTAATTTCATTTACACATCCAATATGGATCAACTAGAGTGGAGATTAAACACAGTTGCATGTACAGTATCAGTGTTCTATGGGGAGGGGAGGGGGGCACACCAGGCATTTCCTCAGAGGTGATATATACTGGAGGGACAGGGAAGAATCTTTTTTTAATTTATAAACATCTTTTGTTATATACAGAAATGTTGGATTTATATTAGTTGTCAAGTGTTAATAGCTTTAAATTCAATCTAAGTCATAAGAAAATATCTGTATTTCATCATGATCACCATCTGACAAAGAATTTCCACGCTTGCGTGGGTTAGCCATATTTACCTTATGACATGGTGTCTCAACTATCATAAGGCAAATCTGGATCAAGTTTAATGGTTGGATGTCCTTCCAATCACCAACCCAATTTTACAGAGTGGGAACTGGGCATTGTATACTAAATTGATATTTAACTAATTCAGTAACAAAAAAGAGAAGAAAATATTGTGAAGTGAGGTTCGGATCCTAAGAAACTGTACATAGGGTGGGGGCAGCACAGAACATTGATGTGTTTACATCCATTGGTAGTGGTGAACCTCGAGTGACTTGCTTATGGTAAGACCTTGGGCTTACAGATACACTCATCTGCTTATATTCTATTTTCCATTTATACTAAAAATACCTAAAAACTTATAGCAAAGATTAATATATAGGGCAAGTGACATATTTGCAATTCTCTTTTTTTTTTTTTTTATTCTTAACAAATTTTACCCCAGCAAAGAAGCCTCACAAAGGACAACATTTACACCACATCATTCATCATCATCAACAAAAGCCATAATACTTGCACCATCTGTTGTCCTTGTCATGGCAAGAAGTCTCGGTTGTGTGACATCACAGGCACTGAGGCCCTGTGCTGTCGACCAATTCTGTCAATGGCAAGCAAACTATAAATTTTTCACAATCTTTTCAGCGCTTTATCGTGTTGATGCTCAAATGTGCCATACACCGCACTGGTTCTATTACGCCCATAAAAGTTAATTATGAAATTCCTGTAACACAAGCACATAACTTGGGTACACTTGTAAGAATTATTTTTTCATACTTTTACACTTAATTTACTCAACATACTGACACCCAAATACAATAATGTAATAGAAGGGCTTAATGTGGTGTCATTTTGTGGCACTAAATTTGGCAAATATCACTTGAAAATCGTTCAAGTAGAAGTAATAACCTCAAACGGCCTTAATATTTATTTAATTGGTCCAGTGTATGGGTCAGTCAGGTTACAGGAATTCCAAAATCAACTTCTTTCCACCTTATTAGTTCAAAGATAACGCATAACGGATTTCGAGTTTTTCTGAGCCATGACTGCTAATTTATTCTACTTTTGAAAATATGGAGCAAAAATTACTCCCAGAGAACAGACTATAATGACCAAACAGATGTGTAAATGGGTAGAGGAGTAAAGGGAGGTAAAGGTTTCAATGACGGAGACAACACAGGGAACAAACATTATACATCTTTACAATGATGCACTAATTAAATATCATATTTAACACCTCACTACGTCTTGTGCCTTTCATCCATATACCTAAAGGGTAAGATAACCTAAAGGCCAGATAAATGATGGTATGAAAGTGTACACAAGAGAAATCTGAAGATTATTTGAACCAAGAAAGTAGAATATTCCAATATGTTGGGATTTTATATTCCAGCACAGTCAAAATTGGTACTGCGCGGGATATAAGTGCAAAGCCAAATGGACAGCATACTCGAGTCTCACTGTTTTGCACATCTTTAATCCATTTATAATGTTACTCTCAAAAATTAACATTGAGTTTTCTCAACAAAAGGTGAAAAACCTATATGAAATCCATTGATCAACATGGTATTGTAGAATTCATAAAGTGGATATTAAAAAAATCTTCCTGGCCATTTACCGCAACTTGTTAATATCATAAATGCTGTAGTAGGTTTTGAAAGATATGTTAGGCCAATGTGGTGGCATTCTCATCCAAGGTGTTGTCCATATTACTTGAATCATGAGAGACTAAATATGTTACAGGTTGTCTATTATTGCGACCTAAGTTTAGACAAGTCATTTTTTATTAGGCCATTCTATTATTGTCATCCCATTGTTTGGCATTTACCTGTGAATGAAAGGGAGGTGCTTGGAGTACATGAGTGAAGTGTGTTTACTGATTGAAGTGGAAAGACTGATTGAGGGGTGTTGTCTGATTAAAGTGGGAGGACATATTGCAGTGTGTTGACTGACCAAAGTGGCTAAAAGTACCGATTCCAATAAAATAAATTATTTTTTAAGAGTATGAATTTTTTTATTTGAGGCTATATAACTAATATAGCATAAATATTAAAAGTAATATTTCTTTCCACGTAATGCCCAACCAGATTCACTTAAGCTAATGAACTCCTGGGAACTGTCACACCTTCCAACTGTTACGAACATGTTCATTTTCTGGTAATCTAATGAGCCTTTGTCAGAAGGCAACTTTAGTAATGGTCAAGTGTAGACTTTTGATTACCAAATGCAATTATTGCCTCTACTGTGAATGTTCAAAGGCACTCTGGAGAAAAACACGTCTGCTAAGAATCAAACCTCCACTTGTTATATCAATGGTCACTGTCACGCACTGAGAATTATGCAACCAGTATCTATGTTAACTATAATTAAAGTATCTTTGTAATTCGAAGTATACATTTTACATAACATCAATGACCTATATATGAACAGATTCACTGCAGCAAATTGTGTTATCCAATTTATTCCAAATATGAGGAGAAGTCGAGGACATCTCCCCAAAAATAACAACAAAACCGCGCTCACCAGTAGTTGTGACTTTAACTGCTTGTTTTGTGACATTTAAGCCAGGAGTAAAAAAAACACATAATGAGGGTGTGCTCCTCAAGCTTTTACTAAAGAAAAATTGTATACAGGGGGCCCCCGGATTATGAACGGGTTCCGTTCCTGAGGACGTTCTTAAGTCGGAACACATGCTATATGCATACCGTACTTACAGAACAATGTTTAAAATGACAATATATCATAGCCTAAGTCCTTAATTACATCTAAAATCACTTAATTTAAGACAAAAGAAGAAATAGAATGACAAAATGCAGTAAATGAGAAGTAATAAAAAATAAGTCATCAGGTAAATAAAATACTATAAATTTCAAGTTTAACCCCGTTTGTATTGGCGGGCGTTCGCAAGTCGGACGTTCGTAAGTCAGGGACCTCCTGTATACAAATATAAATGTTCACATTGTGTACAACTAATTGTGCACAATCCTAAACCAAGTTAGATTTTATGAGCATTATCATACACATATATTTGGCTAATTTTGTTCAAAATACCTGTATTTGTTTAAGTGACATTATTTGAAATAACTGTGTACGTAATCAATTCAGGAAGTAAGGGCTATTTTCGTAAATAATAAGGAAGTCGACCCTGGCTTGTCAATTCAGACCACTCACTCCGACCGCACCAACCATCCGGGATTATCAGCACAACTACTGTAGTTAACACAGCAAGAAATAGATGGAAAATGTGCAAGTGTGGCACCAATTTAGGATTGAATCACTCTCTCACCCTATTCAGCTTTTGTCCATTTCAAAGGTGAAGGATTGTATATCCAGTAGATAATATTTATATAGTGTTGAGCATATTTCCATACAACTTTTAAGAAGAATATTTCATTTTAATGATTTTTGTTTTGTTTTTGTTTTTTATCATAGGGAAATTAATTTCAATAATGAGAAGAAAAAGCACTTTTGGTCATTATTTAAATTACCACGATAAAAAATAGCTAAAAGCTCTAATTTGGTATAAAAAAATAATAAAAATTTAATTAACACTTTTTGTTGCCAATTTTAAGTAGTTATTTGAATTGCAATTCAAATCAATATCATAAATCAACATAATACTGTTAAACTGAAGTGAGATGACTGATTGAAATGTGTTGACTGACTCAAATGTGCTCTCAGTGAAGAATGCAGTTTTAAATGAATGAAGTGTGATGGGTAATTGAAGCACATTGATTGACCAGAAGGGCAACAACATATTGCATTGACTGATAGAAGTCTGATGACTATCAGAAGTATATTAACTGAATATTATAGTGACTGAAATGTGTCAAATGATCAGAATGTTGAATGAAATACAGTAGAACCTCAATAAATCGAACTAAATGGGGCAAACCCGTCTGAAAAATGCGAATATATAGGGGGGAGGGGGGTGTTGGAGATCAACACTGCTTATCTTAACTGTTTAAAAAAATCAGTTGATGTTATATTACTGCAATTCAACAACTAAGGTCTTTAAGTGTATAACAAGGTTATTAAAAGAATAATACATCAACAATAAAAAAAATATGAATCAGAACTCTCTGGGTTGAAAATCAGACATGCAAGTCTGATTGCCAACAAATGTTGTAACCGAGATGTCTGTTATTTACTGTAAAATGTTATATGTAAGTAGCCACAGAATGTCTTATGAATAAAGAGAAAACTGTATACTGTACAGTACTATAAAGATAAAAATAAGAACAAATAAGTGTGGAAGACCAGTGTTTTTCTGAGAGTAGCTGGCACAAGGGAGGGGGGTAGCACGGGTGGGTTACTCCCTCCCCCCCTCTTTCCCCCCAAAATTCCTTAACACTTCTTTATGCAATTTCGCCACAATTCTCATATAATTTAGGATCATTTGGTGCCAGGTTGATAAAATATTGTCCCAAAAGAATCAGCTTTCCTGAAAAAAGAATCCCACACTGAACACCATGAGTCATTTGTTTAAAAAGGGCAAACAGCTGATTGGCTTACCACAATGTCTGTCTTCAATACTTAGTAAATTAATACAACACAGTCGCGTATTTATCACCACTTATAAATACTATTGCAGTGTATTTATCTCCACTTAATAAATATTATTGTAATGTATTTATCATCACTTAATAAGTAATATTATAGTGTGCAGTATTATGCATCTGTACATATCCTGGTTTATTCATTAATCATTTGTCTAAGTGTACAAGTAGCCAAATTGAGCCATCATATAACACTCAAAGGTAGTAATTAACGTTTTAAGGAATGTATCTTCATATCAAATACTATACAAAGTGTTATAGTGACCCCTGTTGTTAGCTGGTCTGCTGAAAGCTCTCACACGAATGCATATTGAGTAAGTAACCTTCCAATACAGCTTATCCTTTTATTTTGAAGTCATATTACAAATTACATACAGTACAGTATTTTTTCTCTATTACTGAAGATGTTATATTTAATCATGATGAACCATAAACCATAAGAGGCCAATCATATGAGAAGATAATACTGAATCAATCAATAAATAAACCTGATGAATGTGGCAACACCTGATCAACCCCAGCCTGCTTACATACTTAAGTGTCTTAGTTCTCGGTAAGCCTATAGCAAATCTGATTAGACCACTGTACAGTACTCAGTAAGTTTTGTTCATTTCATTAGATTTTTTTTAATCTTCCCCATTTCTTAACTTTTTTTTTTAAGTATTTCTGGTGACCAGAGCATCTCAGAGTCCGAAAAAAGCGAATTCCGATACATTGACGTCCGATTTATCATGTTTTTACTGTACTATAAAACTAACCCAAAGGTGTTGAATCGCTGAAGTATGCCAACTGACTGATGTGTAGTGGCTGAATGAAAGGTACTGAATGCCTCAAGTGCATCTACTGACTGACGAGGGAAAGCAAAAGTTAGGATTTACAAGCTCTAAGGTTTACACCTAAATGAGATTTAACAGTGAAAACAAAAATAATTGAGCCAGAAAAAAGTTAATGGCAAATAAAGCTATAAAAAGTGATGAAAAAACAAAAAACAAAGAAATGAAACACAAGGACGGAAGGTCCAATCAATATATAAAGACTCCCCAAGTCCCCTGATGTTAGGATATAAAAACTAATTACTCACACCTTCTCTTTACAGCCTATCCCTGTGAGAAGCTACTATAGCTTTTATTAAGAAGAGAGATAAAGCAGATCAGGAGGCAGCAGCAAGTTAAGGAGCAAATGAAACAAAGATGGACTATGTGGCACCAGTACTAGACAGGAATACAAGTATTTGAAGTAAAGAGAAAAGTATGATGTTGAGGGATCAAACAAAAATATGAGAACTGCAAGTAATGGGCATGAAAGGAGCAGCTTGCTTTAAGATTGAAGAGAGTTTGTAAACAGTAAAGGCACATTGATGGGGAAAGTAGGGAGAGTTCTAATCAAAACTGAATAATTATTCTTTGCCTTCATCCTCCAAAATACAATGTTCCTACCTAATGTTGCTTCTAGTTACATACAGGTCTCATATCTAAGAGGAACAATGAATTTTGTAAGAAACTAATTTATGTCACTTGCCCTTGAAAAAGGTTTTACAGTTTCAAGGGAGCTAATATGCAAAACACAAGATAAAAAATAAGCCCTAAAATTACCTTCACCTAATCAATTGTTTTAAAATTTGTCAACGAATAATTCCCTATCAATTACTTAAAAGCTACAAATAGTAAAAATACACACTGATTATTGGTACTGACCTGTGGCATGTTCGAAGGACGTCCAACCTTGATATTACGACCACCGATCATTACACCGTTCATCTGTTCCAGTGCCAATTGTGCTGCTTCAGGCATTTCATATTCAACGAATGCAAATCTGTAATAGGTATCATTATAATACTAAAAGGACTTCAAATGGGGAGATCCATGGGCCACATTGGGTACATTCCTATTTTACTAATAGCTTTTGAGAGCATTTTTTTTTAAAGTATGGTCAAATACTAAGGTTGAAGTACAGTACAGGCAACCCCCACGATACGGAATCCAGGATTATGGAAATTTGCCCTACCGGAATTTTGAAATTATGACCCAAAAATTTGCGATAAGGACAAAAAATTCACCCTTACGGAATTTTGGTAAATTAAAATTTTTCACACATAAAAATTGTGATATACAGTCAGTTCTGCTATAACGTGATAGTTGTGTTCTTGTAAAATATCGTGTTATAGAAAATCGCGTAATAGAAATAACAGGGCTTTTGGAGAAAATAGGGTTAGGTGCAGATTACTACTCGAAATCGAAAAAAAATTAGTAGTTAGCCTAACACAAGGATAGCACAGTCTAAATAAATGTTGCATTCATATCTAATAATGAAATCATACAGTAAATGTAACACTTTACCTTGAAAAAATATGAATATAACTTGATGGGGGAGAAGGGTGATTTTGAGGTTGATAACATCGAGCTTCTCTTAAAGTGTTATATCCTTTCTTTTACGATCATCACCGGGAATTCGATCACCAGAACGCTTCTTGGAGATATTCTTCTTTACCATGTTCACAGTTAATACCACAAAATTGGAGAAATAGTAAGCAAAAATCGCGTTACAGCAAACAAGCGTTCGCGTTAAACAAATATCGTTCCTCTATTCATTAATCGCGTTATCAAAACACGCGTTATAGCAGAACTCACTGTACTGTATAACAAAAAATCACAAATTATAAAATATATTTTGTGTGGATTCTTGGTGGTAGCTACAAGAAGGTTGGAGGGCGACTCACCTCCCTAGCAGCCACACAACAATGGCACTACTCAGTTTGAATTCTTTCCTCAGCTTGTGTTCAGGACTGTATTTGCCCTTACAGAAATATGGTTAATTTATTAAGATTTTCAAAAGAAAAAATTGCGATATAGAACAAAAAATTTCTTCAAAATTATGAAATTTATTTCACGTGGATTCTGGTGGTAGCTACAAGATGGCTGGAGGGCGGTTCAAATTCCCAGTTGCCAGCAGCCACCACAACAATGGTGCTGCTCAGTTTGAATAATTTCCCCAATTTGTGTTCAGTTATACATCTGTGTTACTGTGTACCCTTATTCAAGATGAGTGGAAAAAGACCATCAAGTTCAAGTGAAAGCAGTGGTGATATAAGATTCCATAAAGGAACTATGTTGGACAATAAACATGATATTTTAAGACGGTAGCTTCCAGTAACTCCGATCGCACCACCTCACCTCACCACCATCAGCAGCACTCAACATCGTTTCTGGCGAGTTAAATTTAGGCGTATGCACTTATTGTCATGATACATCATGAATGAATCATTTTATGTGTCAGTTTCCATTTATATATGTGTTACATTTTTGAGGCTGCAAAAAATTCCCACAGGAACGCATCTCAACTTATATAATGGGAGTCAATGGGAAAAATGACTTTGTGATAAGAAAGATTTTCAGAAACGGAACCCTTCCATAACCCGTGGGATGCCTGTATATCAAATTAGGGCACAACAGTCAAAAAGCGAGTCACTCTACTGTCTGTCTGTTCAGTTTCATCAAAATTTACAATTCATATGCCTATAATCTTACTATAAAGTATTTAACATTTATTTTTTATATCCTGCCAGGACAATTATCATTTCATTAACATTTAATGGATTAATATGTAAAAAACATAACAGTATTTCAGCATTAGTTACACAATATTCTTTTGACACAATGTGGTTGCATTCCTGAAAAACCAAACGTCATGCAAAAATATCGCTAAACTAGGGATAAAACCAAAGCACGGAGGGCAAACAACAAGTTCAAATGGCAGGGCGGCAAACATTAAGTACAGTACAGTACTGTACACCCTAATAATAATTTACAAGTTTGTGATCAACAGTTTTGAAGTTAAACAATGTGATTCAGAGACGATTTAGTGAGCAAAAGGTGTGCCCCATCTGATCAAGTTTCATATTGCATACATCAAAAATTAATACAAATTAATATGACACATAATAAAATTTATACTATGCATATCATAAAATACAATAGCACGTATTTTATGAAGGAAAAATAGCTCCTTCACACTCATAACATCTTCTGGGCAATGTGTAGCTGTGTTTATGCCATGACATCATATGGGGGTGTGTCAGGGAGCATAGTTGGGCTCGTGATGCAGTTACTACAGCCCAAATACGTTCACTTCACACACATACACACCCACACTTTTCATTTTCCTCATTTTATTGTTTTATTTTATATTTTCTTTATGTCTAAGCCACATTAGAGTAAAGTAAAAAAAACCCTCTTAATCCAGACTCTTTCTAACCTAACCACTCCAGAATAATTTGTTAATCCAGATTGAGTCCGGATTAACATGAAAGTCTGGATCTACTCACTTGCGTGGGTTAGCCACCCAATCCAGTCTATTCAAAAGTACCTTGGGCAAGAGGGGGGTACCTTTCTTTTTTGCATGAGTGTGGAGCTACTTTTTTGTAACAGAGGTAAGGGAGCTACCAGTGTTTTGTTTGAGGATTAAGGGTTGAAAATGCTCTTGAACTATGGCAGGTCAATTCTGACATTTAAAAAAAAAAGATAGAAAAAACTACAGGAGGTAAATTATATTATACGACAGATGACCTGTTTTTGAGTATGATTTAAATGTATAAATGTGGGTGAACCTTTAAGACATAGTAGTTACTCTCCCCTCCATAAGAAGTTTTCTCCTTTCTAAGGTGCCTCAAGTGTGGGTAGTGAGTTTGAGGAGCAGCACACTTTCACCACTCCCTTGTTGGTACTTGCTTGTCTCACAAATTAATAAGTGCTTTACTTAACCCCACTAAATGTATAATGTACCAATAAAGCTAAGTGATGCTCATTGTATAAAATTTAAATGTTATCATGCAGAAACTATCTCATCTACAGAGTGAGACAAATCAACAGGTTTAATTCACTATGCCCCCTAAATTTAACTTATGGACAGGAAAAAAAGATGTGCATAAATTATGTTACAAAATATACCTCTCTCTCATTTTTCACTATTGCAAGCCCTTTTCTGTTGTAGCACAGGGTGGCTACTATTTTCAATATATGCTTTTATGACTTCAGGCCACAGTAGAGATGCACCCTCCTGTACATACTAGTTGGGCGTACTGGGGAATTACCCGGTAAGCATGCATGCATGCGCGTACAAACAAAATAAAAAATAAAAACATACCCTTTGTGTTTTTGTGTGACTGGATCCCAAGACATATTTATAGATTTGATTGGACCGAAGGGAACAAAGGCTTGGCGTATGGTGTCTTCCTTGAGCTCAAAACTGATGCTGCCAACGTACACTCGGCACATGAGAACTAGCGCCTGGTGTCGTTGTAAGGATTTGGCTTGCTGAGGAGACAAAGAAAAAAATGTCAATGTATTACCAAGATCCAGCTGGCACTGAAACATACCATATTAATCCTGAATGTACCAAATAAATTTTATTCCATGGTTAACTATAATGCATATCATTTGGGTTTAAAATAGATTAAATTTAAAATAGGTGTATTAAAGTCAAATTAGGTTGCAAACTCACAAAAAAATGGTAAATGCAACATGTGACTTCTTAACAAAAACTAAACAATTACTGAAAAGTTGCTAATTTGCAATATTCATTCCTTTATTCATAAATATTGTCATAATTCACAAAGGTCTTTTTATGAACTCTGGCATGCCCTTTACCATTATACTGCAGTATGGCTATAACGGATATTTTCCTATGATGTTCCCCTTCCACAACAAGGCCTAAGATATCTATAGTGTTTATCCCTGTATACAGTCATGTCGCATCATATGCGCATTCAACTTTATGCACTTGAATTGAGGAGAAAAAAAAAGACGCAGTGAGTGTAGGTGTGTATGGTTGGGGAGACTCTTCCACTCATGTCTCTCTTGGCCTCTGCTGCCACGTGTACTGACTGAGCAGGGGAGGGGTTTGGGTTGTGTGCCTCTGCCAACTGACCCTTAGCAACAGTTCCTAAGGGTCGGTCAGCAGAAGCAGCACATCCCAGCTGAGCTGTGATGCAGTGTGTGCCCCATCTTGTATAATTTTTGCTTTTTTATGCTTTCATTAATTTTCCTAAATATTCTCTGCTGAAATCAACTTGATAATCAGTGGCAAAAAGGATAAAGTAAGCTTACAGCAGAGGTGGTTGTGTGGTGTGCATTTAACCTGAAATAGGCCTAACCAGCTGAGTCACCAGATGAGCTATTGACAAACTGCCCACTGCTACCACACTTACGATCATCCTTGACCACCGAAGGGTCAAGCCGTACCTGGCGCTCCTCTCGGAGCAGCCAGGTCAACTGTTATGTTGGCCCATACCAACCCCCTCCCCTGAACCCTCCTCCCCACCGGAATATCAACATGTTCTCCTCCAGAAGTTACTATTTCATTTAGGAGAGGAATGGAACCAGTGTTAAACAGAGGTGAACAGTGGTGAACAGTGCTTAAGTCAGTGAGAACAACTCAACAGTAACAGTCGTACCCAAGTTAACCTTCACACAGCGAGGTCCCAGGTACCCAGTGATAACGGCCCGTGAGACCCAACACCCAGCGATGTGTTAATCCGTCTACGATAGGAAGGCCTGGGACCTCACTCATATAACACCATCTGTGAGGGAATTACTACACCACGTCAGGCCCCTCATAACACCATATGTGAAGGAGTTACTACACCACGTGAGGCCCCTCATAACACCATCTGTGAGGGAATTACTACACCATGTGAGACCCCTCATAACACCATCTGTGAGGGAATTACTACACCACGTGAGGCCCCTCATAACACCATCTGTGACGGAATTACTACACCACGTGAGGCCCCTCATAACACCATCTGTGAGGGAATTACTACACCATGTGAAGCCCCTCATAACACCATCTGTGAGGGAACTACTACACCACGTGAGGTCCCTCCTAACACCATCTGGGAAGGAGTTACTACACTACGTTTTTGCTGTTCAACACCTACAGTAATCTGTATGTTCACTGTATGTTCCTTTACCTTTCTCTAATGAAGGCTTTTGTTAAACCACCAATGTATGTAATAAGTCATTTATGTCCAATGTATATTTTCAGCCTTCGGGCTGCAGAACTTTTTCAATAAACCGTCAATTATTATTATTACTACCTCCCACACAGAATACAGACACATGCTCTTCACATTTCTTATTTTATAGTTTTAAATTATATTTTCTTCATTTCTAAGTCACAGAATATTGAAATACTTTTTTTTCACAACTTTCATAGTTTCATTGCATGTAACAATGGCAACATGCATTACCATTGCTCACAGGCTACAGCTGACTAGCATGTCAGCCAGCTGACTCCTGGCGTGGCTCTCAGAAAAAACGGCCTTTTTTTTTACAATAATTCTACTCTATATAAACAATACGGCTTATAAATAAATAAAATAAAATATAAAACTATAAAATAAGAAAAATGAGGAGCATGGGTGTTTATGCACCAGTAGTACACGTATGTGTAGGCGGTGGGCTATAACTACATCTCAGACTCACCACTCTAGCCGCATCACTTATTGTTGCTTTTAATGAAACTATAAAGTAAAAATATCCCTACAATACTCTAATGTGACTTAAAAATATAAAAAATATATCATAAAACTAGAAAACAAAGAAAATGGGTGTGTATGTTTGAGAAGTGAACGTGTATGGAGGCGGTTCTTGCCAAGTCCTTGGCTATAAGCTAAGTGGCCGACTCACCAACCCAGCCGCCTCGTATATTGTTACTTGTAATAAAACTATAAAAGTTGTCCAAAAATCATTACAATACTCTAATGTGGCTTAGAAATAAATAAAATAAAATGTAAAAAGAGAAATCAAAGAACATGGGTGTTTATGTGTGAGAATTGAATGTACAGTATACCCTCGATAACTTGGCATTCGATAACTCGGAATTTCATATAACTCAGCACGGATATGGTCTCGGAAAGTTTTATAGTATAACTCGAGAAATGCCGAGATACAGTATATAAATTATCTGGGAAAATCTTGGCGTATCTGGCCACGTGGGTAACACTCGCTGCACTGCATTCCATGCCTGGTCAGTCTGGTGTTTGTTATTGTTGTGACCGGGTGTGTGCAGGCTCATGCTACCCAGTACATGGATCTGAGAAGGGAGGGTGCCATAGAGCCCCAATATTTTGGGTATAAAGTACTATAACAATGCACCACAGTGTATCTAGGGCACCATATTTAATATTTAGTACTCCCTGGTAAAATTTGGTTCCTGCAGTACTGACCCAGGAACACCCACCAACCCCTCCCATTCATGTCAGGCCACTGTATGCAGAACGACTCCACTATTACGGTAAATCCAATGTCGTAGATTTTATTTAATATGCAATTCAATTCATTTAATCTGAATTCCAATTATCCGAATCTACCAGGTATCCCAACTTCGTCCCCTTTGGTAAAAATTCTAATTTAGTCCAATCCAAAAGTAACTGAAGTCATTTAGTTGTGTGTCTGACACCTGTAGCAGTGTTTCCGATTTTTAAGCAAACATTGCTGTGATAAACAATAAAATTAATACATAGCATATCATAAAATACAATATTTCAATATTTTATGTACAAAAAATAGCTCCTTTCACACTCAAACCATCATCTAAGTGATGCCACAGTTCAGCCAAGCAGTGGTGTGTGTGTGTGTGTGTGTACACACACACACACACAGGCAAACACATGTGCACACACACAGGCACACACATGTGCACACACACCGTCAGTCTCCCACATTTCCAATATCTCTCATTTACCGAGTGAGGAGGCAGATGAGACAATTAATAGCCACTTTGCTACCATATGTCATACCCTACCCAGTCTTGACCTCACTCTCCTCCCAGCCTACTTACCCTCCTCTCCTCCCCTCCCATCCCAGTGTTCAACCATTTGAAATTGCCAACAAACTCCTGAAATTTAAATCCAAAGGCTCTTCAACCCCAGACAAAGCAAATGCCCTAAAGAATGGAAAACTGCATTTGTCACCCCTATCCCCAAGGTCCCCACACCACAGTCCCCTAGTGACCTCAGGCCAGTTGCCATTACCCCCATACCCAGTCTACTCTGTGAAGACTGTTTTTGAATGGGCAATTGCTAGTATTTATCAGTCAATTGATCCATCGCAATTTGGCAATATGAGGACCTCCTCTACATCACACTGCTTAGTTAGCTTCCTGGATTTTCTGCACAAAAACTTGAAAAAACATAAGACATCACTGGCTGTTGCCCTTGTTGACTTCAGGAAGGCTTTTCATCTTGTTGATCACTGCAATGTTATCAACAAGGCCATTGCACTAGGGCTGCCCACCAACCTGGTCTCATGGCTCACCGATTTCCTGAGTGAGCATCGTCAAGCTCACTCAGGGTTCTTTCTCCACATTCCAACACCTCACATGCAGTGTTCCTAATCCTGATCAACGGCGCTCTATCGGTCACTCCTCACAGGTGGAAGTACGTGGATGACTGCACTGTGGGGGTTACAGTGGACAACACCTCACCGGACTACTCATCGCTACAAGGCACCCTGGACAGGCTACAGGCATGGACTACGGAGAACAAGGTCACCATCAATCACACCAAAACCGTAGTCATGCACTTCAATACCGCCACCACTCCAGTGCAAGGTCCAGCAGTTACAGTGGGTGCCCATCCTCTCCAGTTAGTGCAGTCTGCCAAACTCCTGGGGGTAACTATAGACCACAAACTGGACTGGAAGGCCCATGTAAATAACACAGTCAGGGCAGCCTCGTATCGACTCTACATGCTACGGCGACTCAGGTCACTTGGGGCACCCACGCCAGAGATGAGGACTATCTACAACGCCTTTATTCTCCCCAAATTAACGTATGTGTCACCAGCCTGGTTGTCTTCTCTCAACTCAACCCAACAACGTCAGCTAGAGAAGGTACAGAAGAGGGCCTGCAGAATCATGCTCGGCGCAGGCTACTCCGGCTACAACAACGCTCTCTCCACCCTGGAAATGCCATCCCTCAGTGACCTCTACCACCACGCACAAGCAGGATTTGGCAGTGGACTACTGCACCATCCTTGTCATCGCCACCTACTGCCACCGACAGTCCGCCACTACAACAAAATTCAGCCCATGAGAGCCCGCACTGATAGATATAAGAACAGCACCATCCCATCTCTTGTTAAAATGATAAACAGCTCCTGATTTATGTACTGTACAGCCCAGTAAATGTATTGAATGTATATTATTATGTCTAAATCACATGTAAGTTTGTATATTTTCAGCCACTGACTGCGACTCTATTAATAAACCGTTCATTATTATTATTATTATTATTATTATAAGGGGAGATG